ATGAAACCTAATTACTACAATTGTTTTTAAAAGTCAACTGCAATTCGAGAAATACTCCTATGGGCTTCGAGCTTTTACTATGAATATCCTAGAAAAACACGTATGAGTATCTTTAATTCTCTAATCATTAGATAATCCTATTATAATTTTTGAATGGTTCACTCTTGATAATCCATACTTTAGCAGATAGTATTGGAAAATGTTAGCTTCTTGCTAGGTAGATAGCGATGACAACAACAGCTATCATGCCTTTTTTATTTTTAGCTTGCGAACTTCCTTCAAATAAATATTATTTCATATTTTTGTATTTAGTGTTAACACGCGAAGAAATTGACTATCTATTACAAGAAATCGATGAGATGGACGAAAAACATCTGCAAAAGATTCATAAAAGATTTATTGAACTCTGGTACGTACAAAATTGTTAGGCAACTGACCTAATGTATATTTTTATATTCTATTCATCAGTAAGACAATGAATAGATGATGTTCATTTTTGGATCAAAGTGCCGAAAGATAAAATCAATTATTGTTGCATTTTTTTCATAGAGATTACTAACAGAGATGAGCAAAATCGCACCGCGCCTCCCCGCGCCACTGCTCGCGCCTAGGCGCTACGCACATCTCTCTTTCTCTTTGCTCTACCAATCAGTTTCTCAAACTCCACCGAATACCGGGATGCTCTAAGCATGCGCTCATCAAAGCTCAGACTAGTGTAGCGTAGGCGTGAGCAACGGTGCGGGGAAGCGCGGGGAGGCGCGGTGCGACTTTGCTCATCTCTGATTCCTATCGTATCTTTTACATGAGAGTTGAACTTCCTTCATTTAATATATATCCCAGAAGAATAACTTCACTGGAACTATATCACATTATTATATACTTTTTAGAAAAATTCACCAAAACTGATTTATTAGATAATGATGTTGCTTTGCATAATATTGTAATCGAAACATGTCCCAACTCGACCTCTTTCGATTATTGGAAACTACATATTAATAGTTATTGCAGTTTTCGAGATATTCATCTTACATCAACCTACATTTCATTCTGACACCGATAATAGCTCGGTGTCAAACAACAGTTTAACCAACAGATCACATTCACTCTCCTGATTTTTTCAGCAATAGCACTATTATCCAATTCGATTGAATTACTTATGTCAACATTAAATGGCTTTTAGGACATTTTGTTTTCTTTTAGTCCCAACGGAAAAATGACAAGAGAAAAGTTTATCGAAGTTATTCAGAACATATATTCAGAGTAAGCTCTAACATGCAACAAACAGGATATAAAGTGTTGCATATATTTTCTTAAACTTCATTGCAGTGGCAATGCGAGTAGCTACTGTCAATATGCATTCGACCTTATGGATCGAGATGATAATGGAACGTTAGATTTTATTGAATTCGTATTGGCCATGCAAATATATGATTTAGATGATTTAGAAGATCGCCTTGGTTTGGTATGATTACTGATTGATTCGAGTTCAATTCTTTATATAGGATTTTTTTTGTTTGTACAGATATTTGATATGTTCGATTACAACAAATCTAAAACAATGGATCAAAAAGAGATATGCCGCATGATAACTGCTACATGTCAACTTGCCGGAAAATCATGTGACAAGCAATATGCAGAAAGCTTTGCTAGGAAAATTCTTCAATCTTGCAATAAACGACAAGATGGATATATTACAAAAGAAGAATTTGTGAATATGTAACTTTAATATATTCTTCTATGGAGTTTTCTTGAATATTTCTTTTATTGTAGCTGCATGAATGTTGAAGAATATTGTCAAATGGTGATACCCAATTTCGACGAAAGTAAATAATTCAACATAAAAAGAGTTCTAAAGCATAAACATCCGCTTTCCATATACTTAAATAATTTTAAAATGTTTAAAACACTATATCAACTATCAGAAAGAATGGCCTCAGAAATTCGTGTCGTTTTCACTGGTTTCTAAGGAGATTAATAGTAATGAAAAGGCCGATATTACCGATTTAACGCTACAGAATTCTTTATTTCAGACGAGTTTTGATTGTTGATTTGCGTTACAATAGATTAAAACAATCAATTTTTAGTCCGTCCAGCTAGAAGTTATGGCTTCTCGTCTGGAAGGACGTTGTACCGTATTCATAGAAAAAACACTCTTTGATTCTCTAAAAGATAAAGTCAATAGAAACACCAATGTAAATACCTCACTCCATGTAAATGTATGTCCCATCATTGTTTTAAAACTCATCGAATCTATTGAATGAATTTTGTTTTTGCACATTCTGCCCACTTAACATTCAGATTTCAATGGCGATGTAGTAGTGTAAGTGATAATAAATAGAAATAAAACTGCAATCCTATATACATGAGATTTCAGTTTTTCACAAGTGACTTCAATTAATATACTGTCACACATCTGACTTTGCTAAACTAATCGTGTTTTTGTAATATGACATCACAGACTTGCTCATATCACGAGAAAGTAGAACGTAAAACATACACTTAAATTACATTAAAAACTCATGTGAAAAAATAGATCTCACAGTATAAATCGTGTCTCGCTCTTTCTTTTTCCGAATTATACTCTCTATGTTAACTATTAGTGGCGTTTTAAAAATTTTTGCATAAGTTGATGAAGTTGTTAATATAAGACTGCTCTTAAAACTTTGTGTATCTTATATAACGTTTATATTTCTTTGTAATCTGTTAGTATTTGAACTGAAAATTTTCATCACTTGCTTTTCCACAACTTCAACAGAAGCTACAGTCAGTTGAGGGTGTGGTTGTGGTATATTCCTCGTTGTTTGTGCGACACCCACACCTACACTCTTTTTTTAATGACACAATAACTGGCATTCTTATTTCTGTATTTCAAGTCAAACAAGAAGGCAGAATGAAAAACTTCTATAACGATTCGATCGAAAACAACAACATACAAGATGCTAGTTCATACGATGAACATGGAAATCCTGAGGGAAGTGTCTACGATCTTGGTCGAGACGGTGCTTTTAACAGATATGCAATTTTAATCGGAGAGATATATGTTAACGTAGAGTACAACATTGAATGCATACAAAAGCCAATCAATGCTTTAAAGAAGAAAGGCTTTAAAGTGAAGTATGTAACGAATAGAACGGACTTTATTTCAGAACTTCAAACAAACAAGTATAAGATAGCATGGGTCATCTGTTCAAAATCTTCTGAAGATAATAATATTGTTTCGAGTCTAACAAATTTTCATGCAGCTGGGGGAGCCATTTTCCTGCTTCCTGATAATGAACCATTCATATATCCGGCATCACAATTCCTGAATCAAAAATTTGGCATCACTCTAAATGGTAATTATTCAGGTGAAAAGATACTTACATTCAAACAAAACGGTCAACTTGAAGCTGGACATTTTGGACAGCATGCTATATTTACTGGAATTCAAAATCTATATGAAGGAATTACTATTTGTCATCCTGTTTATTCTACGTCGGAGAGCCGAGCAATACTTGCTACTGTGGCGACATCAACCGATGGAAACCCGAATATTGCCGTATATGATCCACCAGCAACTTCAACTGAAGGACGCTTGTGCTTGGATTGTGGCTTCACTAAACTATACAAGAACTGGGACGAAGCGGGTACCGCGCGATATGTTGTAAACGCGAGCTGTTGGCTTACAGGAATCGATAGACGTAAGTAATTTTATAAAATTAACTAATGAACCTTTCAGATATGCTTCTTGACATTTCAACTTTTCTCGAATAAGATCATTTAAAGATCAGATCATGTATATTGGACTAATTCCGCTAAATAGATACCAGTTTTGACTGAAAAGCATACGAAATCAAATTCTTATCAAGTATTTTTGCTTACAAAGGAAAGTCAAAAAGAAAGACTTCAATGCAACATAGAACCTGAATGAATAAGAATAGATCTTGACAGTGTAAAACGTCAAATAAGTTCACTCAAATAATGTTTCTGAATCAACAACAAACAATTCAGATGATGTTGTATCGCACGCTTTATTGAGCTTTGATCTTTTCAATGATGTATATGGCTATTTTCTGGGACTTGACGAGGGTACACGATCTATTGTGTAAAGGTTCTCTCTTGTCAATGACTACGAATCGCTTCAAACTGTTTCTTCCTAAAACTTCTATCTCTACTTCATCTATTAATTTTAAGAAATTAGAGTCATAGTCATTTTTTTCCTCATTCCATTTCTATTATGTGAAGATACGAATAGTAAAAAGAAAACAATAGTGACCTTCAATCACAAAGCCAAAGCTTTGAGCATAATTCTTGCATAATTAAAGTGTGGAGATAATGGATATGTTGTCTTTGCTTAGCAAAACTAGAGCCGTATGATTTATTTGTTACTTAGTCTTTATCAATTTTATATGCCTAGGTTTGCGAGGAAAAACAGGGAAAGGTCGAGTTCTTTTATCCATATATATCAACACTCATTCGCAGTTGTGTCTCACAAATGCAAACTTTTACTAAGACATTTCTGTTTTCTTAATTTCATACAGTATCTATCTTCTATTTCAGCTAAAATATTAAACAAGGGATCTGCCGCTCGTAAAAACAACGCAGGAAATCAGGCACATGGCAACCGTTCGGTAAGTACTTCACACGAAAAAAAAGACAAGTGCATTAGTCAAACGAAAGACTCATCATACTTTTGAAAGCAATATATTAAACGTAAGACTATTGAAAACTGAAAAAACTCAATAATTTCAAAACTGTTTTTCGTCTTTTGGTTTATTTCCATTTTCAAACACCTTGAGTTCAAGGTTACTTGGCACCTACATAATGTGCTCCTTCTACTATGAAAAATAATGGAAAACATCCGCAAAATAACCCATTGCACTTGATATAAATTTGTTAATATTTCCTGTTTCCGAATCAACATAAGTAAAGAATAAACTAAGCTCATATTTCATTAGCTTTTTCTCCAATTAACATTTTTGTCTTCCAATGTTTGAGCATTCTATAGTAGTTTCAATAAAAAAAACTTCCTGTTACTTGTTCGATTAACCGTTATTCATTCTGATTGCAGATAGATTTTTAGCTATAAATACGGGCAGATGTTAAAATAAGGAATAAATATAGACTAAGAGGTTCAAATTAGAAACTCATCAGTTTTGATTACCACATCGATATTAGTCTAGAGGCAATGATGTTGCGTAGAAATATTTATGAAGTTTGAATAAGGGCTCAGTTTCATTGCAGAATGACCAACCATTTCAAAGTTCTGGGTGAAACTTTTTTTTTAGTGTGGTCGTAATAGATCAAATGATGATGACGCTTAAAACATGGACTTATTGAAAGACGATGATTAGGTCTGTTCCATTTTCGAAGAACAAAATTCCACCAATGACACTAATAATTACGTTGAGAATTGTTGCTATGCTATTAATTGTAATTCTGCTTTATAAAAGTCTATATTCACCAGTGTAATTTATATAGCTTACTAACAACTGTTTTAATAAAATCTCTCCACGTAAGATTGAATTGTAGTAAGAAGTAAACGCCAGTCTAATGAAGTTGGCACGTCATATAAGACACATTGAAGACAATACTCTACTTCTAATTTGGTTGCTTTCATTTTTCTCTTCAATATATTTTAAAGGGTATGGGTGTAGGTGTGATCTGAGTGAGAGTTTGAGGTCTGAAGCTAAGTCTGCCGTTCAGGGTGTGGGTGGGTGTGGGTGTTGATGAAGAGGAGACTAACACCCATACCCACACCCTCAAGATTAATCATTTACTCAAGAGGGAAATTAGGTTCAGATTAATTTTTGAAATCTTAATTTCGATGAGAGGTGTTCAATAGACATCACATCAGTTTCCACTAATATGTATTAACGAACCACCTCACGGCTAATAGCCAGTACAAGTCTTTCTACTGACCACTTAATTGACATAAATTTTAGTTTGAATGATTGTGTTAGACAAATATAATTGAATTTAATTGTTTTGTTTATTCCCATACATCATTAGCATGACGTTGTCTAATTCACTTAAGGGTGTGGGTGTCGGTGTGGGGTGTGGGGTGTGGGTGTGAGTGGGTGTGAAGAGAACATCGGCATGTTACACCCACATCCAAATCCACTCTCACATCAACACCTACGGCATCCAAAACCAGGCCCCGCGCGAGCGGGGTTTAGGGGGTGTACACCCCCGAAAAATAAAATTTTTTCAGTTTTATCCGCCCACAAGAACATATTTTTTCCACATTTTTTGTTTTTTCTGAAAATACTCTCTTCCCCCCCCCCCCCCCCCCAATATTTGATCCTTCGCGCGGGTCCTGCCCAAAACCCACACTCACACCCTCAAGATCCTATTGCTGTTGTAGGTTCGTCAATGATCTTTGCATTTATGTCCAAAATTATGCTAATTTTTATACAGCATCGATTGAATTCATTGTCAATTTTCCTTCTTTCATTATTTTATGCAATGATATCGTATCTGAAAGAATATTAGAACTTAATCGAAACTAGATTTATTGTATACATTATAAATACTAACAGACATTGCAATATTTATTCGTACAACAAATTCTTCAATATCAATTGGTTTATAAGAGTGCCAGGAACATTGACCGAACTTTTGAATAAATCTAAGCATGTAGTAATTTTTGTTGCCCTGCATTTCGTGATGAACAAACGAACGACCATAGGACGTCAAAAGATTCAAACATGTAAACAAACGAGGATAGATCGCTCTATGTATGTCCTTCGTTGAAGTTTAGATAATATTCGTTTCTATCTATTTAATAGTATTCAGCAAGAAAATACATCATCGTCACTTATTATTTTATGTTGTAGTGTAAAATACCATTGTTTCTTGTGCTTTAGTCTAGTCTTAAATGTACATATATATGTATGTCTGAAGCGAATACGAAAACGGTGAATAGATTGCAAAGAGATACGCAGAAAATTCGATTAAATTGAAAAAAAAAGAGACTGAGTCAAATACATCAATCAGACGTATTTAGCGGACAGGATGAATAAGAGAATATATATGAATATGTGACACGAAAATGTGTAGGAAAGAAGTGATAATGATATGTTTATAACTATACCAGGAGAGCATCCTGATAGTAAAATTCAGTCACTATTTTACAGCATTTGATTTAAATAGCCTAGAAAGAACGTTCATATATAATCCTTGTTTGCATTTCAGATGTAACGCTTCATTTTTTCTGATTTATGTGTTTCTTCATCCCACGTAGTAAGCTGCAAGTTATATTTTTCAGTTCTCATGTTAAAATATTATTATCATTTGATAGTTGTTTATTTCTACTATTTCTCTTTTTCTTTAGAAGGATGTTGTCTAGCGTGTGGGTGAGGGTGTGAGTATGACTGTGATTTTTCTCTTCACCCACACCCACACACACCTAAAGTCTGACATAACATCCACCCGATTGTGAAGTTAAATTAGGTCACATTAGAGTTAGCTGCTATCGTTAAATACTTTTAATGACAGGATTTTCGTGTATTTTGAATGATTTTCATTAGATGACTTTCATCTATAATATATGATTTTCATGAATTAAAATTCTAACTTTCGTCATCGAAATTGGCCCTTTCTTTATTTCGCGTAATCATTTTTCTCTCGAAAACATTTTGTTAAAATGATTTAAATTACATAATTTTTTACCATTTTTTTATTCATTGGGCACATACTCTATTTAATAAAACGTTACTTTGTATTAAAACTCGTACATATATCCAAAGCCTTTTTCAACATAATCAATGCTTTGAAATTATCTTTTAGCAGTGCATGAACCAATGCTATACTATTAAAGAGAGTAGAAAATAGATGTACAAAACGATCATATGGTGGTGGATGGTTCTCAAGCAATAATTTCGCTTCTAAAAACTTTTCTAATGCTTGAGAATAGTAGCTTTTCTTCATAAAACACAGACCCATTGCATATAACATATTGATACGTGAAAGTGGTGAAAGACAAGCTTGATTATTTAATTGTTTTTGAAAATATTTCAATGATGTTTCCATATCAAAGTCTGTTCTTTGCCTATTATTCTCATCGATTAGATCTGCTTGCTCCTGATAAACAATGGCATCTTCATAATTATTTTGTTCTAGATAGATATGACATATTTTTCTGCACAATCTAGCCACATCATGATCATCAACATCTTCATTCATAATAGTTTCTAATGCTTTTTTTATAATATGATAATGCAGTTTCAACATTATCTTTTGCTCTCCATACATCACCAATAAGAATATAAACTTCACGTATTAATTTATTGTTATCATCTAATGATGACAATGCAATATCATAGTGAAATAAAGCATTGTCATATTCGAAAAGATGAAAGTAATTGTAACCAATCATCATATTAAGAACAAGGCATTTTTGATCATCTATAAATTTTTCATCCCATAAAAGCTCTTTGTAGTACTCTATAGCAGTTTCGTAATCACCTAAAATGCTCATTAGATAATAGAAATCAATACCGACCAGTGTTGTCATTATATCCTTCCATGAAAATGTTCTTCCTGTTAATATTTTGTAATATTTCCCGAATCGCATCCAATCATCTATTTTCATATACAAATGATCCCAACATGTTATAGAAGTTAACTGCTCTTTGATAGCATCCATTAGTTGCTCCATCTGTTCGACTGTTTGGTTACATAGGGTAAGTTTAATAATCCATGTAGAATCATTTTCTTTCTCGACAGAATTAATACGAAAAACTGTACCAGCAAAGAATAAAATTTCTTCTTCATCTTGTATTACGCTCAACTTAGAAATATCAGCAAATGGATGAAGAATATTATAACTTGCTTTTATAGTGTTAATTTCAAATATAACTCCAACTTCAGCACCAGCTATAAACTCACGGGCAACATTCTCCCTATGTGATGTTGACATAAGTGTGTTTATTGATATTAGATTTCCAATATTGGACTGCAAATTCTCTAAATCGTTTTTACCGAGACTCTGTCCTCGATAAACAGTCGAATAATCTCCTGTTTGTTGTCCTATCGATAATTCTTTTAGCTTTTTATGTAATAGTGTGATAGAATATCGAAATTTGCAAATTAAATCAATGTTTCGCTTGCGAAATGCTTTATTTATAAGTCGATAGACAAATGAGTCTTATGTATACCAGTATAATACATTGTCTTGTGTACAAGTCTTTTCGAAATCATTAATACGGCCTAATTCGATTGGATCATTTGAATATTCTAATCGACATTGTTCTATCATAGTTTTTTTCAAACAATCCATATCTGTATAAGGATCATTAACAAGACAATAGATTAATACTTGATTCCATAAAAGTGTATATGAATTTTTATCTAAACTCATTAAAGATTGTTCACTTTTAGTATCATTTAAACGCGAAATAGCTATTGGTAGATCATGTCTATATGTTAATAAAATATCATGACGTAATCGTTCAATTAATGTTCGTTCATCTGTAAAAACTTCAACCAGTTTTGAATCCTTTTGTTCTTCATATCGTATATTTCGAAGATTTCTTTCAAAAACATAAATTGATTGAATTTGAGGCAAACTATTGAATTTCGATAAGTATTCGTACAAGTCGATTAAAACAAGTAGGATGATACGTTCACTTTGAAAACCTTTTACATAGTTATCACAAGGTTCAAACGAATCGCATTTCTCTAAGTAATCAACACAATTTGCTAATTCATTCGGAAAATTATTATTCAAAGAAAGCCAAACCACTCTGAAATCATCATGATTTTGTATTTCATTTAATTCTGTTGACGATAATTTAAATTCAGTCATGTTAGATCACATCGAATGTTTGTCTTTGAAATAGAAAACTTACGTTTAGCACGACGAAAATAGAATAAGATTCTCATAAATTTAATTTTGGCACGAAGAAAAACTTCCAAATTTCTATTCTATATTTTACTGTATATAAAACGAAAACGGTTTTATCAGGAAAAGAGCAAATATTTTTCACGTTTCAACTGTCAAGCGGATATCGAGTGCTACCAGAGGCAGCTTTTATAATCCTGATATTGTCCAGCTGCTTTGGCATACGCGTCGATCTAGACTTGGTACGGTAGATAAACAGCGAGATTGATAGATAACAGTTTTAGATCTGAGTTCTTTTTTAGATCAGAAGACGTCTATTTTACAGAAAAAATCGTTTTTCAGAACATTTGATAAAAAGTTTTTCGGTGCTAAGAAATCAGAATGTATAAAATTTTCATCTGAAGTTTCGACTCGACTGGTTTCTGACGAACTATACTTAGATTCAGATCTTTCGATGCAAAAAACTTTTTCATCAAACTGTATATTAGGTGGTTATTTTTGTAAAATTGATCTCTTTTCACTGAAAAAGGAAGCTTACACACTTTCTGTCATTCATTATTCTGATAATAAATATCGAAGCTGTTGCTAGTATCAAGTAAATGGAAACTGAACGTGAACTCTTTTACTAGTGAATTAACGAGCGGTCATAGTTATACTGTTTTGTTCACACTGGATGCGTGGCTTATAGTTTGCTGAGCAAAAGACAGAACTGACGTACAGTTCTCTCGCTCACGTGCTTCAACTTCCAATAAATACTTATTAATGATATACTGTTTGTTAGCAAATTTAGATGAGTTTTCTTATACAATAGTGCAACAGATATGCGATTGGGTTGATCATGCAAGATAATCTCTTAAGATCATTTCATAATTTGAAGCTATACAGATTCAAACAACACGACTATCAATCGTGCTGATCCACACTCAATTTAACAAACTATTTATTCGGGTAGAATTGCCCCTTTAGATAACTGTAAAAAAAGACGAAAAACAAAAGAACGCTATACTATCCACTATTTTGAGGATTTTGAAAGTAGGACAAGAACATGTCCAGTTTTCGATTTCGACATAAAACGCTAGTGTGTTCTTTGTAGAGAAGATATTGACCTAGTTTATATATCTCTGTAAACACTTCAATCAGTTCGTCACTGAAAACAATCCGTATCTTTTGATTAAGAAGAGCAATCTCGGGCATTAGTTTCTGTTTATGAAATAGAGCAAACATGTTGATAAACGTATTTTGAAAAGCTCAAATGATAAAGATTATTTGATATTGAAGGAACATTATATATCTGTACAATTAACATATTTAACGGTACACCCACACCCAAACGGCAAAGAACTCGAAAGATTTCGTACTTTATCTCAGAAAAAAAAAATGTTTTCTAGTAATTCCAACAATATGACAAAGAAAATAGTACAATGACTAGGAAAAGGAGTGCCTTTTTATAAAAAGAAATTCAGTTTACTTGCCAATAACAATAGTCCAGCTGCTCACCGAATTTTATTAGTTACAGCAAAGCGAAACAAGCATTTGCATTTAGGCACTCATCGTATGGGCTAAAAACTGAAGTGATTCTCGATATCGAGTTATATACACGTCGCCTATGTAACGATAATAAAACAAAACAGTCATATATCCCCACTCTTGCGTAGATGACGACAGATACTTTTGTCTCATTTCGTTGTTTCAACCTCAATCGACAGTTACAAAAAGAGAACAGGTGAAGTAATTGTAGCTAGTAATCAAGCGGACACTTTCTTTCCAACTTTGCAGTTGAATTTCTCTTTATCTACACTCCATTCTTTCAACATAAATCGTAAGCCATAAAATTTCGTTTTTATGTTTTTTCCAAGTCAAATTAAAGTACTAATCATTGCTTGACATTCAAATATGATTTCTATGATTTATGATTAATCTTAGGATGTTGGTGTGGATGTGGATCGATATCCTCGTTTCTTCCACACCCAGCCACTCACACCACAGCCACAGCCACGGTCATACACCCACACCCACACCCATACTCCGCACACCACACCCATACCTACACCCACCATCCTATCGAATGGTATATGTTTTTGCTTTTCAAAAAGGGACAAAAAATGAATTAAGAGATGGGGAAATCAAGTATTGTCATTTTTGCTGAAATGATCCGAATTACCCCAAGTGGACTAATTCCGATCAGCTTGACTCCTCTTCCACTATTTTTTTCAATACTTTTTCCAGCACATTATTTTTCGAAAATTCTTTCGCCAGTAGATAGAGGACACTTCGAACTAGTTATGATCCAAAAATCGTCGATCGATGATGTAAAATGGTTAAGAAAGAACGAAAACAAAATGAATTTTCTTATTTTTGATCCGAATTACCTCAGGGGACTCTATTTTTTCTATCGTTCTCATTATATGAATAAGAGTACCGTATCTCATCAGTCAAGAAAGTAATTTTGATCGGAAAGCATTGTATATTGACCTTATTTAAACTTTTTTATTTACCTACTGAAAAATAGCAAGTTGTGTCATGAAAAATGCTTATCACAACATAATCTTTCATCTCATATAAAGTAATAGCGGTCCAAGTAGCTAGGTCTTTTAAGCCGATTTACGACCTTATAACCTTCGTTCCTTGCTTGATGTATTCAGAATAAAAAATGTCATATCTATGTTTCAGGACAGTTTTTATAATATTTGAAAATGGCATATGTGCGATAAACGTCTGGGATAGCTTGGGAGACGTTCAACTACCCAGAAATGCTGCTACTCTTCGAGCAAAGTGTCGACAATCATGGAAACCCACTTCGTAAGGTCCAAATTTTTGAACTGCGTTTTGTACGAAACGTTTTAAATCCCTCGCTTTTTTGTTAGATGTTCCTATATATTTACCAGTTGGCCTCCAGGTTGTTGGTTCGATTTTTACATAAATCGGTGAATAACCTACCGGATAAACATCAGCAACTAGATGAACCTTAAATGTATGTCCCGATGTCGTTTGAAAAACGATGAAGTTATGACGAATAAGAGTTTCATATAAGTAAAATCTACGAATGACCATATTATCCTTGAGAAGCTTGGTACAATGGTATTGGTCGATCATTCGACCATTAAATTGAACATTAGAGACGTTAAGGCCAACTGAAGCACAACTGGAGGCAAGGATTCCTATACACACTATGAGTCCCTCACGTGGTCCTTGGAAAGAAGCCATTTATTCACTAACCAGAGCAATACAACTATATGAGAAGCTGTCTTTTATCAAACTATATGCGTTATTATATAGCTGATGCACTTAAAACTAGTGTATGCAAGTCTAAAATCTAGAATAAAAAAATGATAAAGGACGAACATAGTATAGAATAGAGAGAGAACAATGATGTGACTTTCTTTGAAGTATTTGATGACACATGTCGAATCATGAAAATCTTTTCAATACAACGCAAAACATAGAGAACCGATGCTCGACGTAAACATACCAAACATTAAAAGTCATTGGAGGAGGAAAACAATGGCGCTGAAAAGAGCTCATCGAAAAGCGATCGACGACATAGGGAGATTCTCTCATAAGGCATAAAAGCAATGTGTGTGATTCAACAAAAATTATACGAAACGTCAACTACTTGAAAACAAAGTAGTGCTTCTCCGATGTGGCAATATCATTTTCTATTTTGTCATATTCCAAAATGAAGAGATTAGCTGCTCATTTTTTGCCAGTGGTCTCTAAAGAACAATGGATACAATCGTTCTCCAATTTCTCTTGCATCTATGTCATGCGATAAAAACCAGGTACTAGCAACTGGTCTCGATCGAATTTCTTGAATTACTTTTCCAGTTTTATGGATAGAATTCCTGTTAACAAAAGAGTGAAGCATTGACACATACTTCAATTCTTGCAGGCCGTACTGATTTCAGGCTTTATTCGGTTAGCTTGATCAGAGATGCGCGAATACAAATATAATTTGTAGTCAGCGAAGGTTACGACTCCCCATGTACTCGGATAAAACCTAGAATTTGTAACCTCCCTCCCTCCCGTCTGTATTTTCATGTAGGGCATGGGTGTGAGTTTCAGTACATGAAACTACATGAGAGTACATTAGAATACAAATTCTGCAAATTCTAGATTTTTTCCCAGTACATGACAGGAGTGTGGGTGTGTGGGTGTCGGTGAATGGGGTCTGATTAAGTGGAAGAACAACATCTACACGCACAGCAACAGCCACATCCGCATACCCATACCCACACCCTACTCAAGTATTATTGGAGCTTAAGCTGCTGTAAAAATTGAAGAAAAATAACAACCTGAAGGACATCGGCTTGAAACATAATTCCAACTGTTTGTGCGATCCTACTGGTTCTTACATAGATGAACGTGTCCTAACTTGCTCTACAAAATAGCAAACGCCTAACTTCGATAGTCTTGAACGATCAAAAGTATTCAAAAAACAGTGACGTACATCACATTTACAGATGGGCAATACTTTATAGCAACCGATAGTGGTTTTGAGAAAAAGATGATTCGAAATGATAAATGCGCCCATGAGTGACTAAGACATCATTATTTTTTCGTTGATACTAGTAAAGTTGGCTATTACTTGCAGCCACCCAATGTCGGTGCAATTCTGTTCACGATCTATTCGATCTCGTGTGTATGTGTGTGAATGTCACATATGTTTGCATTCATTACTATGCAATATGCTACAATACTATAAGCAAGGAAATATTTATGATTCTTTTGTAGTTATTCACTATCATCTCACGATTAGTCATAACTATTTTATTTTCATTTTACTGTTTTCTATCATTATTCACTTTGCTGTCATAAATGTGGAACTAGCTATTGGGGTGTTATCTTAGGTTTCAGTTGACTCAAATTCTTTTTTCATAAAAGTTTTCAACTTTCAAGATATTGTACTGTTACCTATCAATGATCATTGAATAATATCTGTTGTATGTTTCATCAATGTTGTCTCT